TCCGTAGTGGAGTGTTTTTGGAGCCATATTGCTCAGAAGCTCTGAAATTGGACTTTGATGATATTGAAGACACATTCCCTACAAATGAAGTTTTCACATGAGATGAGTAGTAGTAGAATCGTAGATTTTAATTCCATAAAGTTGACCATTAGAAAAAAATTAATCAAAAACATGGTCTCATTCAATAAGCTAAATCGCTATAAATCGTCGTGGAAATGTAGGTGAGTACCTGCATAGGATCGTGTTAACATTGGAAGCGATATATGTAATTAAAGAGGAAAAAGCATGCAAACCAGCATCCCAGCATTTTCCTGTTCATCATTTTCCTATCGGGTGACGCATGCGCAATAATTACGCAATAGGTTCAACGTCGGTTTATGCCGTCGCGACGCCTTAGTCAGTTTTGCGACGAGTTCGGGATGTAAATGCTACTTTTAACAGTTGAATGCGATATCCTTAACGTGTTGTTTTTTTGGTACGGAAAATTTTTAATGGGAACAATACCCTCTTAAATTATTGCAGCCCTGAAAAGGTAAAAATGAGCTTATATTATGTGTTGCTGCATCAAATTGATGTTATTTTTGCTTTAGAGAATGCATATCTGTTCGTCGTTTTTATTTTTAGAATTTTGCAAATTCGCGAGAGTGCCGTTGGTAAAGGGTAAAAAACTTTTAATAGCACAACTGACTATCAGTTCTGAATTCAATCTGAATGAAATAGCGAAATTCTTTTGCTTGGAACTACTCATTGAGCTTCTAAAGTTTAACATCAGCCGCGAGCTTTTTTCGGACTATTTATAGACGAATACTGATGGTTTATAATAGAAAGTGTTCCCTGAATATATATTGTTGGGGCAAAGATTTTAAAAAATTGTCTAATGTCACACTTTATTTTTGGCCCATTTATGATTAACCGTAGTAAACATCGTATTTGCCTCCGAGGATACGAAAGTGGAGTTTCGAGTTAAGTGTTCACCATCCATTTAAATCCGATTCAAATCCAGTTTTATGATTAGGCGCTTTTAGGACGAGTTAAGATGTTTTTAAAGTGGCAATAAAATTGGTTGACGTAACTGCTAAACTTAAAATAAATAAAAATTTATAAATATTTTCCTAATCTTGGCCGGGCAAAAGCAAGGCAATTGAAGTTTTCAGCAATCAACCAGATGACGTCGAGGGCTGGTAATTCAAAATTCCGTTTCGACTTTTTGTTCAAATATTTACTTAAAGTGCCCTGGCAAGCACGTGCTGAGAATTTTTAATTCAAGTAGAACTTACGGATTGACATAATCAACGATTAAGTAAAGCTAAAAACATTTCCAATTTGCAGTTTTTATTGCGCTATATTTTCCTCACTCCGAGCAAAAAATGCTCATATTTTTGCAAATGTTATTTAATTTACTTTGCGACAGCGGCATTCCGACGCTCTTTGCGGATCTGAACTTTCGTGCTCGAAAATGCTTTTGAGTCAATACTAGAAATCCTTTACTGTAGGACGGTTTTGCTGTAGCTGTAAATAGGGCACTACACTTTATGTATTTTCCATATGGGATGTGGAAATGTTGCGTTCTTAACTCAGTTCTAATCAAACTGAGCTTTATCAATATATACTGATTTATGAAGACATATATTTTAAATCCTCTTACAGATGCACATCTCAAAAACTAAATCTGCTTCAAGTCTCTGAAGCCTGGTAATTATTCCAATCGTTCCATAAAACAGAAAGATGTATATTAAATTTATATACTCTCAGCCACAACACGAGCGTGTTCGATCGTTAGCGAAAAGCTGAAAACTCAACTTAATCAAATAATCGATTTCTCCAGGTATTCAATTTATTCAGTATCTCAGATCTTCGGCTATTGTTTGCCAACAACCCAGGCTTCTTTAAAGTAAATAAATCATAATTAAATTGATAACAGGATGGTTGAAAGTGTATTAAAATGCCTGGCTCATTTTTCGCGCACAGCATTGGCTGGATCACACAATGGCCCTTTCCTAAATTAATGAAAAAGCAACCAGGGAAAATACAGGAAAAAAGATTCATCGGGTGATTTTGCAGAATGAATGCCTGCCAGTCTGGTCGATCGATTTGAAATGTTGGTTTAATAAAATAGTGTCTGCATTGGAGTAACTCAATTTTAATGTGTTTAAACAACATTACTTCATATAAGAAAATGTGTCCTGGAACACAAGGTGGTTACACTTACTTTGCTTATCAGAGTTTCTCCTGGCATACGCCTACGGTTTTAGAATAAAACAGTTTTTTAGTCGCATGATATAAGCGCTCAATAAAAACACGCTGTGACAAGAGATAGAATAATCAGAGAATTAGGTCATTAGAAAGAGCCTCAAAGCCACAACATATGCGAGGTTGTTCACAGCTATCTATTCTGTTTCCAAAGGGCAAAGTTGAAAGCGCTGCTTTATATTTTTTACTAATCGAAGTCAACAGTACATGATTCATAGCCCTGAAGAGACTGAAAACAGAGTTTAGCAATTCCACGTGGTTAAAACGGAAATATAATTTAAATTCGTGATTTTAGAACTTACACAGCGTGTGGCAATGCACACATCAGGGGATTTAAAAATAACTCCCGCGTGGAGGTTACAATATTGTGGGAAATTTTAACTCATCAAAAAGCCTAAATTACAGCAGGCGTGCGAAAGGATTTTTCATGAGTGATGCTGCATGGATTCTTGGAAGATATAAACTTATTTGAAGGAATGATCAAATTTGCTCACGGAAACCTGCAATGATAAATTGCACCGTCAAATCCAGAAGCAGTTATCTTTCACTAAGGGTAACTTTGTATTGATTCATCTTGTTTGAAATGCTCGTGTTTCATATACTATTAATCTTTTCCGCTAAACACATTCTACTAGTCAGCCATAATATATATCCACTCGTCTACTCCCATATTTCTATTTAATGAATTTCTTTGATAATGCTGTTTGGTTTCCTTAAGGAGTAAATTAATTGCTGTTTTGCTTATATCAGCAAATCTCAGTTTACAATTGATTTAATTCGGCTTTTTGTTTTTCAATTTACTGGGACTGGGTCTCAAAAAAGGCCGCGTCCAAATTGCAATTCGCTCAAGGAGCACAAAGGACCATGCAACTTCAAAAGCGTTGAGAAATAGGGATATTTATCTCAAATAAAGCTATTTGTGTCCGCTAAGGAACTGACAGGAATTTAAGTCAAATATCCAATGAAGCAAAGATCAAGCTTTCGTAAAATATTGAATGTGCTTACTCTTTGAACTCGATGTATGATATTAAAATTTCGCTTTGTGGGCCACAACTACTCGAATTTCCCAACTCATGTTATGACTGAATCGAATTTTCAATTCTCTATCCAACGATGCCAAAACGATTTCTGTGGCTCATATGGGGACTGAGAAACTTCGCAAAAAGCTGCGTCATGTTTGAGTCGATTTTGTAAGTCAAAAAAAGCACGCAAATCTAAAACTTCTTGCAATCAATACTTTTCTGAGAAAACCGCCAACATTTCCGTATAGATGGTTCACTTTCTAAAAAGGCCATTAAGTTCTCCCCGAAATGATGTAATAATAAGCGTTCTTGCTCATTTTGCATTCGAGAAATGAGCAAAAACGAGACGGAAAACATGAAATTTTGGCAGAATATTTGCACCTAAGTGTCTGGTATTCAAGTTTCGCTTTCTGGGTCAAAACTACTCGAATTTCCTCACTCATGTTGTTATGACTGAATGGAATTTTCAATTTTCTATCCAACGATGCCAAAACGACTTCTGTGGCTCATATGGGGACTGAGAAACTTCGAAAAAAGCTGCGTCATGTTTGAGTCAATTTTGCAAGTCAAAAAAAAAACGCAAATCTAAAACTTCTTGAAATCAATACTTTTCTGAGAAAACCACCAACATTTCCTTATAGATGGTTCGCTTTCTAAAAATTCCATTTAGTTCTCTCTGCAATGATGTAAAAATAAGCGTTCTTGCTCATTTCGCTTCCGAGAAATGAGCAAAAACGGGACGAAAAACATGAAATTTTGGCAGAATATTTGCACCTAAGTGTCTGGTATTCAAATTTCGCTTTCTGGGTCAAAACTACTCGAATTTCCTCACTCATGTTCTTATGACTGAATGGAATTTTAAATTCTCTATCCAGCGATGCCAAAACGAGTTCTGTGGCTTATATGGGCATTGAGCAACTTCGAAAAAAGCAGCGTCATGTTAGAGTCGATTTTGCAACTCAAAAAAACACGCACATTTAAAACTTTTTGAGATCAAGAATTTTGTGAGAAAACTGTCAACACTTCCTGCTTTAAAGCGATCTGTTGCATGAATATACAGGATCTTTCATTATAGTTTGAAATATTTCATTATAACTTCATTGAAATTACTGTGATAATTTCACGTGATACTTTCATTCCTTATAAACAACCCCCAGCTACCTCAATAATTGGTGGTATAAAAATGCTTATTCCTTTCAATAAAGCAAGGGCTAATTATTTAATCGGGAATCATTTGTTTTGTTACTTTACCGCCCTTATTTTTGCGAAAAACTTTGCAGTAGCCCCTAATTCACTATTTATCAATTTAATATACATTAACAAAGGGTCTTCGCCAAACCCGTCTCAAGATCTCGGGACGGCCAGAGCAAGATTATCTACTGCAGTTAGAGATTCCGTCAGTTATTTACTCTCTATTGAATGATTTTGAGCATAATCAGTTGCCATACGCAATAGAAGCAACCTTCCTCACTTGTACCTACTCTCCTTTTCGCTGGCGTTAGCCATGAAATATTGGCGCAAGTTACTATGCTTTATCCGAAAGGCAGACTTTTACAGTTTATTTTCATTAGGATATAAAGTTTCAATTTTATGAACGCAACCGTTTAAAATGATTTATTATCAGTTGGATGATTTCTAATGGATGAATGTGCAAATGAACTTTAATTTAATTAGCCAGGAAAGGTTTATCTATTAGATGCTTTGACATTAAGCTTTCATTTTATGATTTGCATCATCATTTTCTTCAAGTGATGGACGACTGGAACTATACAATGGTTTTCTGAGTGTCTGCGTTTTTGTGCGGGGCGGTGGGCAGGATCAAAAAGGTTACACCCTTTCGTCTCGTACATCCACAATATCATTTCTATCACACTGAACGTTCCATGTTTTTGTTCTCAATATACCATAAACTACGAAACGGCATCTTTTTTCGTTTCTATTGTGCCATTCAGGATTTTAGTCGTGTTTCTGTGGGCCGATGGGATTTGATAGCACCATTTTTAAATCGCATCCATGCTGAAGGGACGAACGAAAAAATAAAAAATAATACATCAGACAAAGTAAACCGTTCGCAAGGCACGACTTTAACTGTTACCCGCAACCGATATTCCATAAATTTAACTGTACCGAGTTTTCCAACAATACAGCTGTTGTGGCTTGGAACCGAGTCGAGAAATCGGACATTCACAGATAAATATAAATGTTTTGAAATACATGTGGCCCCTGAACAAGTTTCCTAGCACTCAGGTAATTTTCTCAA